TCAGCCCACCTTCGTGGGCCAGGGTGACCTTATCCCACGTGACTAGCTAGAGGGTGGGCTGAGGTCTACGGTCGGGTGGCCTCAACTGTATTCACTTGTGTATGAATGGTTACAGAGCACACGTAGGTCACGTGGTGCGGACCCAAAAGTGCACAACAGAGACCTCTGCTCCGCCAGACTTCTTTCCTCCGCGCTACTGCTACTACGGCGTACCGGACAGCACAACTGAGAGTCGAACTACGGTGTACAAGAGCGACAATAGACGCCTAACGTATCCCCTGCCGCTCCACAGATTTCCACTGTCTCTGGTGGTTGCTGGGTACGACCTTTTGAGAACGCAACCTCCAATCTGGAGGCGCGTAGCGCCTCCGTGAGCTCAATTTGCCCATCATGGTCTACGATTGGGATGGAAAGAGGGAAATCTGCTATCAGATGTATATCAAAGATAAAAAGGCGCTGGAGGAAATTATGGATTACATGAAAACAGCCTATCAGTTTGCACCTAGGTAAGTACACCACGTGCTTGCCTCTAAATTCAAATAACTTAAAGTTCTCTTTTCTACTCTTTTCTACATTTCTTTCCTTTTGCTTATATGTATATATATATATTAATACACTAGCAAAAAAAAAAATAAATTTCGCATCATCACTAACATCTCACAGTAAACGCGCTTTCCAGACCCAATTCAGAAGATGGGGCTTTCCATCGAAACAAAATCCGGCGCACAAGAACGCGGAACTCGTTGCGCGTGTCAAGCAACTCTGGGAGCGAAATACGGGCCAACGTGACATGCTACGGATTCTGAATGACGAAGGGTTTGAGATAAAAGAAAGAGAACTTATGCGGGTGCGTGCTAAAAATCGGTGGCTATTGCGTGTTCCCAATGGAATGAAGTCACAACTCAATATGCAAAACCCAGTACAACAGCCTGAGGATGAGGGTTTGCTTGCCCTCCAGCAGGAAGTATACAAAACTGAAGGGCCATTTGATGATACAGGGACCCTTCCATCTGAAGCGGCGCTTCAACGTTCACCGTCACCTGGTCTATCTCCCGAAGTCCTAGCGAAGCGCAAGGAGCGATTAGATCGCCTGAAAGCAGAAAGTGCAGAGCGTTGGGCTACCCGGAAGCGTCGCCGTCGTACTCGGGGATGGGCCGGACTGCCGGCTGATCCACCAGGACCTCCGCGCTTTCCATCCGAAACCACAATCGATGAGAGTAAGAAATATCTCAACCTAGACAATGCCATGTACCGTCAAGTTAGGGATCAATTTCAAGGAATTTGTGAACAAGCCGGGTTCATTAAAAAGACTCTCGCTGGACCTGAAAGATGGCAGGAGGCAAAGGACAAACTAATACACGAGTCACCGCACCTTCAGCAAGTCTTCTGGGCTGACCAGCTCGATGCAAAGGCTCTTGCTCTCGACGTTGTGTGTACTGATGTCACCAAGCGGATGAGAACTTTGGAAAGACGGATGACTATCGCTGAGGCCAAAAATGTCCTTGGTATCAACCCAGAAGAGAGTCGCCAAATCAGGAATGCATTTTACGACACATTGAAAGCGGATCATTTCACAAGCAAACTGGAGGCTGGCGATGAACACTGGAATGAGCTCAAAGAACGATGGATTCAAAACTCACAGCTACTTCAACAAATCCTCGCAACTGGTCCAGCAGATTCAAATCATACTGCAAGGTCAAAAGCTCTTGAAGTTCTCTGTCGCGATGTCATGAAGCGGCTCCGCGATGATCAAACAAAGAGAGATTCATCTCGGAAGCAATCAGCGTCTCACTCTGGATTGCAAAGCCCCGCTTCAAACGACAGTGATGACACCCATACTTTCGGTGGCAACATCAGTAATGGTATCAGCACGCTGGCTTCACAAGCATTAGCGAGTGCTCCAATAGCATCAAGTGACCTGGGAGATATGCAGATAGACCCTTCGTTGTTACAGGCCGCCAACGACCCTTCGTTTGCAACCACGGGTGAGCATGATACTGAGAACTCATTTGAGTATGTGGATCCCATGTTGGAAACAACTGTGTTGCACACACCATTTTATCTCCGTATTAGCCCTCAAAGTCAGCATGGATCATCAAAAACATGGGCTGAGAAATTGACATCAAGGTCTGTTGCTGAATTACGACACTTTGTCGTGGCTCGTTATCCTGGTTGTAGTATCGTCAAGATCGAGGGTGTCGACAAAGACGAGAACGGAAACGAGGTTTCCTTTTTTATTAATGAAGATTCTGACCTTGACGCTTATCTGACACATGTGCATGGGAAAAAAGCATTGTTTTCAGTTTGCTTGAAAGACATGATATAACCAACTTTGTTTCTTCCATGCATGGTGTCAATGTTTCAAGGGTCTCGTATAGTCCTTCTAGGGCCAAGTGCAGCAATACAATGCATTTGGAAAAGCAAATGGAAACTCTGTTGCATCACAGCGAGGAAGAAGGGACATGGAAACGACATGTGATTTAGCTGGCAGGTACGCTATATAGGATAAATTGAAAATACATGAACACAGAAATCTATACTGTTATCGTATTTGCAAGTGTGACCACAGGCAGGGGACTAGCCCTGCATATCCATCTCACTTAACAGATAAAGACTGCACAACATTCCTAAAGAGAACATTGGCCGGGGGTGAAACAAACGAGGGTGCTTCACCAAAAACACCAGACAGTCCTCCAGACTGTGAAGGTGCCCTCTCCGTATCAAGCGTGATCGTACTTTGTAAAGCAGAAGTTTGATTTCCGAATAAATCCGCCAATCCAGAGCTGAGACGGCTAGGTAGCTCACGAGGGGGGGTTGTGGCCTGAGGAGCCCTATCAGAACAGCCAAATCGCTGCACAGAGGCTCCGGCATCCACAATGATATAATCACCAGAGCGCGGGTCAGAGGTTAGCACAAGTGGACACTTCCCGACACTAAAGGAAAACACTGGTAGCAATGACTCGATATCGTATACTTGAACATGGAAATGCGCAGTGCGGGATTTCTTCATATGTTGCAAATCGTGCAGGGCAACTGCAAAGGTGCGCGTCTTCGGGCTGACTGCTAAAAGTGGTTGCGATCTCCCAGTAGATAAACCATCAATCGGCGACGCCGGAATCCTAACCAAGTCATCAACCGTATCCCACACAGAGATTGCACGCTTCGACGCAACGATAAGATGACGTCCCAAAAACCTAACTGCACATGGATCATCAGAGCATGCACCAGGTCTACTGTAATGAATTGTACACCTTTGTGCATCTAACAGAAGAACAGGACCAGGGTTTGCGGTTGACATTGACGGTAGGCACACCGCAAGCACCGAGCCATCTTCGGAGAAGGTCAAACAGGCTGTGCTAAGATGCTCGGTTTTGTTTGGGCCAAAGCTTCCTTTAAGGTCGACTATATTCCGGCACTTCCAAGTCTCCAGCTGCTGCGCCGCATTGGGCCCTGTTTGCAATCCGCTGCGCGGTCTCGAATTTGGAGACCAAACGCGCATTACCGCATCTGCCCCGATGGTTACAAATTCATTGCTGCGGGGCCGAGAAGCAAGGCCAAGAACAGGCGTTGGGCCACCGTCCAAGAAATGGGGTCCATCGATGCGAGTAACCAATTCCCACAAACTTGACACACTATTCCATTTCCAAAATTTCAAGAAGGTCTCCTCGTGGCTGTTTGTTCTACCATCCCCAGTGTTGCTAAGACCAAGAGCCTTAATATCTTGAGGGAACGGGCTCCAGCAGTCGACAGTAGCCATCCAATTCCCATTTTGAGATATATCCAAGAATTTAATGTCTGGTGTAGTAATTTCTGACCCCTCCGGACTGATTTTAAGGACGGTTGTGTTGGTCCGTGCAAGGGCTTGCCGCGAAATATGGTTGTTTGTGTGAATGTTGTAGGTTTGAAGGACCGGTGAGATCGCCGAACAATGGCCATCTTGAGACATCTGGCGGGAAGCCGGAACCGCCACTAACAGTTGATCAGGATGTTGAGGATGTAGGACCGCTGCCGTGGTGCTTGATAATGCATTTGAGCCACATTGACCTTTGAGTTTGACCATCTTTGGGGACACCTGCAGACCTGTAACAGTGGCATATGGCTGCAGCTCTCTTGCTGACAAGACCATTATAGAGTTGTCCGCTAATTTGACTGCGTATGAATTTCCTGTGGAAGAAATGACAATTTTGCAAATCGGAGAAGAGAGGTGAGGCAGAAATTGCTTTCTACCGGTATCCAACTGCCATAGTACCATGACTGACTCGTGTCCACCCGATATAACATAGTTCCCTAGGGTTCAATTCAGCATGGCTTCATTTTAAAATTCTAAATCAGGGTCGCTTACCATCTCTCGACCAGCGCAGCGCATTAACAGGGCCTCTATGCCAATGTAAACGCCTTGGAGCAAAACTCTTCCCTCCGTCACGAGTATCTTGACTGTTGGCAAAAAAGGCCAAAACATCTTGATATATCAAGATCGACCCGGCTGTTTCGCCTACAGCGAGGTCTAATCGTTCTGAAGCCTTCCTGGCTTTCGCATCTTGGGCGTTCTGCTGAGTGTTTTCACGGACATCAAGAGAAGTAATGTTCACAGGCAAGGTTGTCTGTCTCCACGTATATTGGGCATGTTCAACATTGTCAAGACCAGAACCATCTGCAATACCGAGAAGAAGATGTTGGCCGCCATAAGCAAGAACAGCTTGGCCCTGTTGTGCAGTCCTTATATGAGTGACTCGGACATCCGTTTCGAGAACAACTGTTTCCAATAGCTTTCCATCACGTAACGTGGACACCCTAATTTCTCTTCTATCACCTTTCCGTTCGCAGAGGGAATAAAATAGAATACGTGTGTCGTCCCCGGAAGCTTCGATGACATCGAAAAAACTGGTTCTGCGGCATGTATCCCAATGTAAAGTTTGCTTTCCGGTAACCCATTCCCATTTGCTAATAGATCCAGTTGAAGTAAACATATAGAGATAGTTCTGGTTTATGGGACAGAGCTTATATCCAATTATGCTTTGGTTTGGTTGTGCTTGTAATGTGCGAACAGGATGGGAAGTGGCCGTAGAGTAGATATGGATTGCCGTCTCAACTGCGAGGAACAAATACCTATATATAAGGTTTAGGAGCAGAACTCAGAAATCAGTAAACGGAACACTCACTCTTCATCTGCGGTAAGAACTGGCTCCAGATCGGTATATTTTCCCGCCCCAAGCTGCGACGATGACCAAGACGTACGTGAAGATTCGCGGGTATTTGCGACGGACATATTGCCATCAACGACAGTCAACTCTTGCAACCCTTTAGATACAGGCAATTCCGCGGCCTCCTCACTCTCAGTCTTTTTTCCTGCAAACCGACGCCGTTTGGCCTGGTTTTCGTCTATATGTGCTGTTTGATTTTGCGCTGCATCGGCTCGCGTTCTTTTGGAGAGCCGGCTAGATTGACTTGCGCCGGCCATGGTCAATTGAAAAGAGATTCAAATTTTGATATTAAATGAAAATGAATTTTTCCGGAATCGAAAGCACATAGCCAGTTAGATAAAAATTTGCGCAATGGTTTGAAATGGCTTTCTGGGTGTCTTTCTCTTTCACTACTTTTTTTTTTTTCTTGTACGGAACAAGAGCGGACCCGTTGAGCTAGTCCACATTTGGATTGGTGTATATAACAGTGGGTCCTTCAGAAACAAGCCAATAATAACAGCCATTCTGCCATGGAGCATAAGATAATAATCTGCAGCAGAAACTTCAAACCCAACAAGACATTAAGACGATTTTCACAGCGTTTCTCATTTCTCCTATTAATCTGTTCATTGATTTCAAAGCGGAATAGCACGGAATCAAGAAGAAAATGATCATTCCGATTCGATGCTTTTCGTGCGGAAAGGTAGGGATCAACGCATGAGGTTGTGTTCGTTACTGACATGCATTTTGAAATAGGTTGTCGGGGATCTGTGGGAGCGTTATTTGCAGCTGCTGGACGAGGGAATCCCAGATGGGTAAGCTTCACAAGTTCCAGCTCGGTTTCTTGTCTTGCCACGTGAGCAAAGTTCTGATGGGCGACTTTGAAGTGATGCAATGGACCAGTTGGGTTGCAAGCGATATTGCTGTCGCCGAATGATAATGACCCATGTTGATTTGATTGAGAAATTACTTCGGTCAGTGCCAGTTCTCCGGTGTGGGAGACATTGTACTGATAGAGCTACAGCTACAACCCGGCTGAAAGAGACCGTGCGAAAGCTCAAATATAAATTCGGACCCAAACGGAGAAGACGACGGGAAATAACCACGCCAAACACTCGGGAACTTTCCTGCAATCAATCAAATTGATGTATCACCAAATAGTCAGCCGGATTATGATTGAACTCGGCAGCGCAGCCCGTCCCATACTCAGTTACTAGGACGTCCAAAGTGATTTGTCGGGCCTTGGTTGCACTGTGATAGCATAAGACAATGATTCGATGCCGTATTATCAAGTCATTGGAAACGGTTCCAATGAATGAATCACTGCTCTTGGCACAGCGTTGGTTATTTTCGGGACACAGAGCGCTTCAAAGAATACGCATACAAGCGTCGTTTGCTACATTGGAATTTTCTTTCTTGGCGTTAGGGTGAGGGTTCCTGTACATCTATGACCACGTTTTACTTTCATCACAGAAAGATTGAATATTACCTTTTTTTTTTTTTCCTTTTTTTTTTTTTTTTTTTTTTTTCTCTCTTTGTTAAATGAACTCGGAAGGTCCTTACCACCTGCGCTATCGCGGTTTGGTAAAATTGCGAACAAGAAATCTTACTGAAAGATGTTATAACAGTCAAATGTACCCAATTTATTTATGGGACTCATTTTCACACAAGCCAGGTCATGGTTTCCCTTGGCGGTCTGCAATGACTGTCCATTTTAGCATGAACATGCCACCTGCATGGTCGCTCTAGGCATATCAGAATTTGATAGTAGTCACATTTCCGATGCCATCATTAAGGATTCTATTCTACACTGACACTGACAGGATAGAGATGATAAGCTGTCGTCTGACATTCACACTAGTTTCATCTTAATTTTGTTTGCATGCCATGCGCACAGTACATTGGCCTTATGGCACATATCAGTTTATGAAGTATGTATCAATTCAATCAGCCAAGGGAGGCACAACGTATTATTGGCGACGGTGCCATCGGGCTCCAGTGTGATGAACTTCAAGTCCTCAATATTAGACGCTACAGCTAGCTCTGCACTTGGGTGATTGACATACCGAACGCGTCGTTCCTGGGACCACAATGAGGTCCATCAAAACACTACAGTCTGGACTGAAGCAAAGTGAGCCAAGAAAATCCATTTTTCTGTTTGATGAAATAGGTAAAAAACCGACGCCCAATAATCGATCCAACAACCTGGGCATATCCATTTCTTTTCGACTTCCCATCTTTATGCATCCACACATCACTTTTTCATAGTGTAATTTGATATGCTGTCAAAAGAATAATACTAAATTGATGGAGCATTAAGCAGCAAGTTCCTCCTTTTCTTATAACGATTAGTTGGGGAAGATGAGGGTTATAAACTCTGAGCCCTAACTCTTTACGAAATTATTTACAGGTTTCTCCCTTCCCTTCCCCAATGTTTCCATAATCTGCCATTGTAATAAGTAAGCCAGAAATTCATTTGGATAAACAGCGATCCTCCTGAGAAGGCAGCAAAGGTGATTTGGGGCATAAGCGCCAGTACCCCGCACAATTCTCCATAAGAGTAAATAGGGATGGTCATATACGAGAGATACAGCATTCACAACATTCGATGACGCTCAGTCAGTATTCTGCCATGTGATTTAACATCGCAAAGCTGACACTGCATTGACATATTTCCGACAACAAATATACAGCCTTCACAGGGTGGCCTTAGAAGGATGTACATAGAACGTCGCCATGCCTACAGGATAGGAAAATAATGAACAAAGCATGTTGGAGAACTCCACCTCCTCGGGTCAATCATTCCGAGATCTCTCTACATTTTAGTGGGGGGTTCCAAATGCCACTTCAGCTTCGGAAATCGATCGCTGGAGAAACGCGTTTATGTGGAGAACTGGAGATTATGAGAGATTTGCACCACATACTGCACATTTGTTACATAAGTACTATTCAACTAGAAAGCAACTCATACATATGCAAGCAAGGAAGTAAGGGCTTTGAGCAGAGTGAAAACCCGATGTGAGGCCGGACTCGTTTTCCAGTAAACATGCTAAGAAACCCTTATATACCTTTCTTCGCGGGAATCCAGGGTTGTGCGCCTTGCTCTACACCATGTTCAGATACAATTATACTCCTACAGTGTCAGTTCATTCAATATTGACCTGAGGCTATCATAAGGCGTACATAACCTTTACCGTTTCAAGGGTAAGAAGAGGTTAATTAGTATAACAGTTCAGGTGAAGCAGCGGAAAATACACCTCTATCTGCCGTGTTCAGTGGTGTGAAGACCCAATACCTCCGGAAAATGCATCTAGGCTGTTCGTCCCAGTTCTTCCAACAAATTGGTGACTGTAATGCTGTGATTTACCACCTTCCCATCCTATTTAAACAGTCGTTGAACCAATCCGAGTTCAGATCCATGACCCTTGGAGTCAATATGACCGTCTATTCCATTTTTGCTAATATATCCTGACTCCTCATAGAAAGAGTTGGGAGAGGCAAGCTCTTTTTGTGGGGCGTTATTGGCCAGTGTACCTCCATTGTTGTTACTTTCGCCGCAGATGGCGTTCCTGGGATCAAATAGGCAAAAGGTGCTGCTGTGGGCCTCTTCACTTACATTGCCAGCTTTGGTGCAACATGGCTGCCTCTTCTGTGGTTTTATCCTGCTGAGATCTCGCCAGTCAAGACCAGGGCCAACATCAACGCGATATCTACCTGCAAAACTGGCTATTCAATTTTCTCAGTCATAGCTACTTTTAATCATGATCGGCAATATCAAAGAGCACTCACGTGCTTCTTACTAGTGATCTACCCTTTCGGAGAATTAGAGTTACATTCGGGCCGGGTAGGGTAGGGAAATGGGCACCTTAGTCCCAACCCGCATGCGGGTTGGGAAGAGAATCTTTTTCCCATTCCCATTCCCATTTCCCACCGGGAAGGGTCGGGGATTTCCCAAATTTCCCAAAGATTGACAGCGCTAACCATTTATGGACGCACTAAACTAACTACAGTTAGAACCGGGATGGGAATGGGAATTCCCGTTCCCATTATTCCCAATCCAACTGCCTTATTGTAGCCTTGTATTTTCGATGCAAATTTACCACGCATTATATCTATAATTAACGATCTTTTTTGGTCTGAAAATATATATATAATAAAGTAAACTCCTCTCTGTTTTTTAATCTTTTTTGTATTTTTTTTTAGTGGCAGATTCTGTAGGGAAAAATCTAAATTAGTTGATACAAGAAATTACGACTCCATTCCAATACAATATATATATACATATATTTGGACCGCATTAGCACACAATTTATAGACATAACCGAAAAGATCCACCAAAGGGCATGATATAACCATGGTTAGATTAAGAATAATGATGGAATTTGGAGCTCAACACTTTTGAATAGCTAATAATCTTAAGTAAGAATCATTAGGAATGTTATGACTTTGTCCATTCTGACATGTATCGCGGAAAACTGAGTAATTAATTAGAATTCTCAGCTTCTCGTGCCGGACAGTTAGACTGCGTACTATATTCCAACCATGGTTGGATTAAGTATTGTAATAGTATGTAATGGGAAATTCGGGAATATGAACCACTCCCATTTCCCACATTTCCCAACCCGACCCTTCCCTAGGGGAGTAAATGGGAATTGCGGGTTGGGAATGACACTCTACGGAGAACATGAACTATGTGAAAGCCGTCAGGGCTTTTCCTAGGTTTTCTGGTGCGTATGTCGAGCGTGTTGCTATTAAATATAGCGTTGGTCCTGTTAATACTGATTCTAGCGGCGATAGTAGTGATAGGGCGACATTGAGAAGTCTACTCCCATTTTCACCCAATCAAGCCAGGTTTGATATACTTCATGATGCTACCTTTGAACGCTGCTTGTTGCTGTGGCCTTGCTATTCGAGACCATCCATCCAATAAATCTCTCGGGGATGATGTGTATAATACTGTAAATTTAATTTCTGATACCCATTGGCGTAACCAAACATGCCTACGTAAGTGTGCTGTTTCTTCATTTTATGATGAATAGATGGCTAATGCTATCTTTTTAAAATTTACTAGTAGACCTCGCCAGGCCCATGGGCTACCTGTCACGGACTCGGAATAGTAGATAATAATGAGCCAATATTCCTATTTAGAATGTTGTAACCATCAACAAGAATATCGAATCTGGAGAAGAAAAGAAAAGAGGAAATCTATCTAGATAATGGAGAGGTTTTATAGTTGTTGGCGACATGGCTGAGTAGCTGCGTTTGTGATGTATCATCCATTGCTGCTAGAGTGTCACTCGGGGCGGGGTGGGGTGGGTTTTGGCAGGCAATGCCCCGGCCCAAAACCCCGAGATTCTCCGTGTTATACCCAATCTTCAATCGGATATCGCACTACACCAATCATAGTTAGTTCGGGGCAGCTCATGGGGCGGGGCACCCGAAAATCAGCGGGGCGGGCACCCTCTGCCCCAACCCCAGACCGGCGGGTTCGCGGCAGGGTCACGGGGCTGCCAGTGACACCCTAATACATCCTAATTAGGATAGTTACGCATGCATGGGTATTCGATGGGTTAACTATGAGTAGTCGATCCCCTCCCATGGGCGGGATATGGGTATTACATTGCTACCCATGGGCCTATGGGGATGGGTAATGGGCAGAGATCTCTACTCATTGGGTAACCATGCCGAGGTCTATTTACTAGTTCCATATGTCCTGTTTTCTCGATCCGAATCCATGCCTCTGTATACTTCCAGACCACTGTATGGATAGCAGCATAATAAGCCTAACTCTGTGTCACGGGCTCGGAATAGTAGATACTAGCGAAATGGTATTCCTATCTGAGCTATTGTAGCTATCGATGAGAATATCGAGTCTGGAGAAAGAAAAGGAAAGGAAACCTATTTAGAGGATGAATGGAATTTTTATAACCACTGTACGGCAGGGTTCCACCCATGTTGGTGTCGTCTGTCATTATTAGTCTTATACATAGTGTCGAGCCGTATGGGCGACGTTAAGATGTCAAGCTTTCACACTCTGATGGATACTGATATCGTCGATTTTAAACCACAAAACTGATTTGTATATATTTTAAGGGCGTTTAATACATTAAACTTTAGGGTGCCAATTTTATATAGTTATACATTATGAAAGAAATTTTAATATAATAAATGACGATTAATTAAAAAGTTGAAATGTAGGCTACATAATAATACTCAGTTTAGTTTTCGTGATTAATATTGTTAATTCAGGCATTACTTATCTCTCTAGTTCTGACCAGTCCGTACTAAACCAAATAAACAACTGAGTATTTAGATACTAGGAGTCATTATTCATATATGACGTCGTGAAGGACACTCAGTGAGTATCCCCTAATTGAAACTTGATTAATTAAGACCATAGGTACGAAACGACAGGAGCCAGGTTCTGACACATGTATAAAAGCTTTTATTTTTAAAATAAGGTAATGAATTCTT